ACAAAGTTTAGAAATTTTATTTTTATGTTTTCTGATGTATTTAGTATAAACTGTATTTTTATAAGGAACAATAAAGATACATGCATTGTGAAAAATTCTTTGTGCTTTAGTTGTGATAAATTGCTTTGTTTTGCTGCTGTACGTTGTAATGATCTCATGATATCATGTTTTTATATTTCCTTTCTAACTGTAAAATAATTATTTAATTCTATTCGATATATATATATAATACGTTCACCAAATTTCAAGCAAATCGGACCAAAAATTAGATTTTTTTAATAGATCGGTCCCTGGTCCACTTACTGGAAAAAAGGATCATATATGCTAATCTAGGCAAAACAAAATTTCAAACAAATAGAACCAGATCGAATAGATCGGTCCCTAGTCCACCTTCCGGAAAAAAATAAATCTTTTTGGCCTTTGACGTGGTGGGTGCTGAAAGCTATTTATATACAAAGTGTCATGAAAATCGGACCTGCGTTCGCAAAATTATCTGTTACAAAAAGAACGGACTTCTCTTTAGATAATTAGTTTAGAAAGTACAGACATAGATTACATATTTGTAACTTTCATAGAAATCTTTGAAAATTAGCGATGGTCAAAGTTGACAAAATTAAGAAAAATGGGGGCTTTTAAATGTTATGCATCATTTTAAATTTCTATAAATCATCTTTTCAAAACATGTTTGACTTTTAAATAGGATTTGAAAAATTGTCAACTCTTGCGGCCTTCGGAGGGGCTACTCAGACTTATTCATAGCGTTTTCTTTTCTCGAAAAAAGGCTGCACTTATTCTGCCTTGTGTTAGCGCTGTCACGTTTTCATGTTCTTTTCTCAGCCCTTTCACAAGGCGTCGTGTTCTTTTCTCAGCAGGTTGCGCTCTGATCCGGCGAAAGTGCTGCCTTTTCTGCCATCAAATAAACGTGAGGGTGAGAGTTGCATAGTTGATTTTGAATTTAATCTTGTAAAAATTCAATTATTTTCCCTATCAGAAATAAGTGTTTTGCTTTAAAATTGTTAAAGACTTACAGGCCAAGTGAATAATTCAGCTTTATTAAGTTCTATAAATAAATTGTGATGGAGTAGTAGATTTTCTGTTTCATTCTCATATAAAGAATGCAACATTTTCTCAGGTTTCGGGGCAACGCAAAGCAAGAGTTCCCATATAAAAGTGTATGGGCTCAGCGGGCGCCTGTCTTGGGGTAAGCGGTTCGCTATATAAATGTATATTCGGTTGAGAAACCACCCCTGACAGCAATGAGTTGTGCGCTGGAATTAGGACCCGCCATGTAAAAACAGGTTCCAATAAAAATACAAAAAAGCCTCGGAATATTGCTTTACAAAGTAAGTTACGCATAATGCAGAGCAGTCGCTCGGAGTAGTTCGGCGCTTGGAAATAACTTCGGCTGCGCGTTATTTTGCAACTGACAAAGTAATGCGTCGTCGGAGGTGTTCATTTTGTACTTTACTAGTAGGTGGCATTGGCCATGATGACAATTTTGGTACTAAAAACTGAAAGAAAACATGGCTTACCTCGTAAGGTGCTTACCTATTTTCCCAGTGGGAAATGAGCTCCTTCATTTAGTTCATTCTCGTTCACCAAACGGAAAATTTTTTCAAAACAAAATTATGCATACGGTACGTTTTTGAAGAGAAATGCAGTCAAAACAATGAAAGATGATTATTCAGAGTTGCACACTAAGTACAAGAAGGAGCTGACGATGTTCGAAGAACTCAAAAATTATTTAATAAATTTACGTGTGGGAAAGTTTACTGGAGGTGCTCTTTCTAAGCTATCGAAAATTCCAATCAACAACAACCAACCAACAAAATTGGTGGTTAATTGAATTAAATTTGGGGGGGTATGGGGAATTATACGTGTTGTCAGAGGATTGAAGATTATTTTTAAAACAAAACTTTCAAATTTCCGAGCACTTATTTAACAAATTCGGTTTGAAATATGCACTTTTTGTAAAATGGGTGGGTTTTAAGGTGCCCTCTCCGCCCACACCGTAAACACTGCGCAAATGGCTAAATATTTCCCAATTTGGTCTTAGAAGCAGGGCTTAAAAGATAGTTCATTTTAGGTCATTTTAAATTTCGAACAAGGTCGTTCATTCTTTTCGAAGAACTAGTTCAATGAACGAAGTAGTTCGAGAACTAGAAGCGTAAGAGCGCTGTCCCGCCTCGATACTAAAATCGCGCTTGGTGACTTTAACGCCTGGGTAGGCAAAGAAGGCATATTTGGTCCTACGATCGGAAAATTCAGCCTTCATGACAACACCTCCGACAACGGAGAGAGACTGATCAACATCGGGAACATGGTAGCTAATAGCCACAAAGCCACTGTGTCCCCTGATCAAAGAACAAAGAACCAGGACTGCAAACTACTCCAAAAATACAGTGCGGTTGGGTTCGGTTCAGTGGTTCGAACCACTTAGAAAAGCTAGTACCGGTTCATGAGTATTCCGGAACCGCGGTTCGGTTCGGTTCAAATGCTTCATTGGTAAAGGATACAAATATTAAAAAAATATGACAAGTCTATGTATATAAAAATAAAAGCTTAGTTATTGAGATCAAATTCAAATAAATATGTGTGTGTAGTAGTGGAAAAGTAAATAGGAACGCGACATTTTAACAATTTTGGCTTTTTTATTGTTAATTTTTTTTTAAGTAACAGTTTCATTAAAATTGCAAACTTTTCTATAAGAATTTCTAGAAAAAAATTTTAAGTTTTATGCTGATTTTTGGCAATTTTTTCTACGGATTTTCTTTTTTGATAATAATTTTTGTATAAAATCTGAGTATATATTTACATTTATTTTCTGGCGGAGATATGCAGTTTCTTCCATACAAATAAAGCATTTTTTATGGACGAAATTATAACTCACAGAGCTGCCATTAAACTCAAAAGTGTATTACAAAAACTTGCTTAAGTGGATTTTGAACCAAAGCGAACCATTTTTGAAATGGTTTTTGGTTCGATTTTGGCAATTCCAAATAAAAATGGTTCGGTTCGTGGTCCGGTTTGAAACCTGAAAAAAGCGAAGGTTCGGTTCAAAAACCGATTCAGTTCAAAACCGGTTTGCAGCCCTCCAAATAACCAAATTGGTCATGTTGTGATGGGCGGAAGATACGCTTCGAACGTACTTGACGTGCGCTCTATCCGAGGTAAAAACTACCTTGTTGTAGCTAAGGTCCGCATGCGTCTCTGTGCAATAAAAACGAGCGTCAGGTAACCAACATGTACCTAGTACATATGTCTTGACTACCATTACAGTATCTAATATTAGACCTTAAATTTTTAAGATTACAATTATTATACTCGTAATGGTAACTTTTACGATTAAAGTAATCGCAATCTTTTATAATTTTGGGATTACAATTAAGCAATCGTAATTGAAATGTAATCGTAATCAGAAAGTGCCCAGTCTTATAGAAACTAACAATTTATAACATCGGCAGATATGTATATTGTAGTACATATGTATATATATGTATATTCAATAAGTATATGTATATTCAATAAGTTTTCAGTTGTAATCGGAAGAACAAGAAGAATTGTCTGTAAGCAATATCAGTAGGTACAACCTCTACTTTAAGACAAAAGTAAGTAAGGCTACTGGTGCAAGGTTTTTCGATTAGTTCTCAAGGACCCTCTGAAATTCTGTTCCCCCATTTGCAATAATATCTATACCTCAACGAAAAAATTTATGGACTTGAAAAAGTAACTTGACTCTAAACGTTTGAACATACATACGTATGTATGTATGTAAATATGTATGTTGCAGCGAAGTGCTAAAGATTTTACTTAAGAGGCGTCGCAAAGCACACAGTGTAAAAACTATAGATAATATAAAAGTATATTATACATACATACATATGTATGTATGTGCATATATCGCCGCTTGGCACGCAATACCCCGTTTCCGCTAAATGCAATGCCACATATGAGGCAGCACTGGAAACAATTTATTTAGTCACCCTGTCTCACAAATTTAATGGTGAATAAATATAGTAGGTTCTTTCCCGAATCATCCGGAATGGGTGCGGTAGTTATCTCAAAAATGAGACATTATTCCGAGGAACGGGAGAGCAATAAACCACATTTCGTGCCCAGAGTTTGGGAAACAGCTGTTTCACGTGATTTTTGTGGTTGCCAGTGAAATGCAAACAATTGGATATTGAATTTTGATGACAAATTTGATGGTATTAATAAATAAGTATATAAGTATTGAAAATGTAGCAACAGGCAATTAATTATTCCTTAAAAGCACAAAGTACATAAATGCAAGCCACATGCAAACACAAAACAGCCGATATGCAATTCGACATTTTATCAATTTTTGCCCGGAGAAAAAGTCCGGGCTGTTTCGGGTAGGAAGAAGAAGAAGACACTTACGATCCAATACATTCCCATTTTCGCTCCCTATCACCCATTTTTTGGAAAAAAAACCCAGTATAAGCTCATATTCAGTAAGCTCTGCAAACTTTCAAAAGTTTTGAAGAGAAGTTTTTTTGCTCTTTTGTGAAATTTTCGGAACATCTTATACATACGTCGTATTGCATTTGGCGCAAGCAAAGTATTTCGCGCCAAGCGACGATATTATAATAAAAAAATAAATTTTTGATTTTAGGCCAAATTCCTATAAAATTGTTTGCTGGGTTGGAGCTACTTCGGCCGTTGTATGTACTTTTCCTCAACCACTCAGGCACTTCGTTTATAGCTCTAATTGAACGTTTCCATTCCGTTTCTATCACTTGTCAACACATTTGTACACGAATTACACTCAACGGTTTCATGACGACTGTGACACCGTTATTATAACGTAAATGTTCCATCCCAAATAACTTTGTTTGTGCCCCACCTTGCATAAATATTTACGAGCTCTTGAAATCAAGTGTATGGTTTGTAAAAATTACAATACAAATTTTTTTCACGTTTTCCTCTGTCATGCAAGTTATAAAAGAAAGTTTTCCAGCTGCTGATAAAGCATTTGATATTTTCTCGCGATTTTAATCAGAATTAAGCGCTTATTGAATTAAACGTTGTTAGAATAACATAAAACCTAAAGAAAATTTATAAACTAAAGGATATTACACTCAAATTGTGGGCAAGCGAACATGTTAAGCAAATTTATCGCTTTTATCCTTATAACGGTGTTTATCGTGTTGGCGTTGCAAACGAAACCGATTTCTAGTGGTGTGAGTGGATTAATTTTATACACATCTGATATTTAATAATCGACAATTTAAAATCTTAATTCCGAGTTTTGCATATTCTGAGATATTATGAATTTGTCCTACAAATGTAAGGGCATATTTTTTCCATCGGAGAAACTTCGTTTTAATATAATTTAAAGAATAATTGCTTCTTAAAAGGAGCGGTGAAAACGAAGGAATTACCTTTGGTTTTGGGGCGCCTTTTAATTAAACAACTAGCTAATATCCGACGTGCTTCACTGCGCCTTAAAAGTATTTTTGTGTTCTTTGATACCTGCATCCTTACTAATATTATAAATCCGTAAGTGAGTTTGTTTGTTTGCTACGCTTACACGCTTCAACTACATATTCAACCGATCATCGCGAAATTTCGTACACCGCTGTCATTTAGCCAAGTCCTTCTCCACCTGGACTTTCCAATGCAGTGGGGCCTTGCCCTTCTTCTGCTACCACCAGCGGGTTCCAAGTAGAACACTTTCAGAGCTGGAGCGTCGGAGTCCATTCGAACGACATGGCCAAGCCAGCGTAGATGCAGTATTTTCATTCGCAGCACTATGTCGTTGGAAAGCTCATACAGCTTCTTTTTCACTTGCAAGTCCATAAACATACATATACATACATAATTTGTTTATACCTACGATAAAACCGCATTAACAAAAGAGCGATTTGATTCAATTCATATTTATTTCAAACGTTTATTCCTCACTGGCTAACCAGAATGGTGAGACTGTGGTATGTACATAGCAAGAGCTTTCAAAAGTTAAAATGTTGTAAATGCTCTAAACTGTCCACAATATGTAGCTGTGGTTGTGGTATAATATTGCTGATGTAGCTGATGTAGCTAGCGAAATAGCTAGCGGCTGTGGTACAACATTCTGGTTAGCCAGTCAATCGTTATAGCGAATTCAATGAAACGGCATTCAAAAGTAAACAAAATCTGATGGTTTTATTCGAAAATTGTTTAATAATAAATTTGCGCGTTGGACCGAAATGGAAGCGAACAGTAATACAAACCAAATAATTTTGACTTCACGTTAAATGAATTATGCATTTATATTTGTTTTCTAGCCGATGTGAGAAATAAAAAAGAAAACGATTTGAAAACAAATTCGCGAATCCAGGCACAAGAAAATGTGTTTCCAATTTCTTCCTGCAGCTAGACAGACCACATTCATATTGCCATTATGCCTAATTGAGAAATATAGCAAGATTCTGGAGCCAGTGGCCAACGTACTCCAGTCGGGAAACCTGGAGGTAATTACTGAATCGGCAACGTTTTATAAAACTTTAGAAAAGTTCATTCTTGGTGAGACATTATATGTGAAGAAAATGTCACGTTTTATAATGATGATTTTGACGAATGTAGACTCAATATCGATAAAGATATATGTACATATCTCTGTGCATAATGAGGCGCACACAGCAAAATCCAGGTTCTGTGAAAGATGTTGTGCAATTTTTGTGTGAAAACGAATTATGTGTGGGACTTTTTCCTGAATATGTACGCTTCATTAGATTAGATTCCATCATCGTCATCCTCTAACGAGAGGAGCTTTTCTGTTTTGCGTAGGATGAAAAATTATGTGCGCTCGACAATGCCCCGGTGATCGGACTTTAAAAAATTCTGTGTGGTAGAATCTGGAAACAAATGTGGTAGATTTCAAAAAAATGTGGTAGATCTCGGGCTTTGGATCAAACTTTGTACAAAAATTAAAAAAATTCTGCAAGGTTTCACCTAAATGGCAAACTTTTTAATTCGACTCCAAAAAAATTTAATTATACGCGAGCGCACTTGTGCACAAGGGTATATTAACTTTGTTCACATAACGGTTGTTTGTAACAGCCAAAATGAATCGAGATAGATATAGACAAATGCATACATAAATGCTCAGAATGAATAGAGAAGTCGATTAAGCCCTGTCTGTCTGTCCGTCCGTCCGTGTACACGATAACTCGAGCAAAAATTGAGATATCTCAACGAAATTTGGTATGCAGGTTTCCGTTTATCCAAGGTAGGTTGGTATTGAAAATGGGCGAAATCGGACTGTAACCACACGCACTTCTCATATAACGGTAATTTAGAGAAATACAATATCCTCGATAAATCAGTAAGTATCAAAGCTAATTTATTCAAAATTGATGCGTGCAACAATTCTTTACCAAGAAATACGTTTATGATAAAATTTTGGAAAATGGGCGTGGCACCGCCCAATTATGATCACATGTATGTATCTCGGAGTGCAATGGGGTATAGTCGTTGCGCTGGGTATGCAGTTACAGTTGCACGGTAACCAATCCGAGTGGAGCCTTGGGTCACGGCAGAAAGAGAGGGGGCTTCGGTGGGGCCACTCCGACTTATTCGGTTTAAGGGCTCACTGAAGTCTGCAGCGTCTGTTCACCAGTAGGTGCGGCTGCAAGCGGGTATCTGCTTGGAGCAAGCGGCTCGCTATATAAACGTGTATTTGGTTGCGAGACCACCCCCGTCCCAGCAATGGGTTGTGCGCTGGGCTTGGGACCCGCCACGTAAAAACCACTTCCAGTGAAGAAGCAAGGCAAAGCCTCGGATGAGACCCCTTATGATGACGACCACGGCAAACGTTTAAAGGACTAAAGGACTACGATTTGAGGGCATGCACCTGGAATGTCCGGACCCTTAATAGGGAAGGTGCCTCTGCCCGGCTGGTTGATGTTCTCGTAAGGACAAAAGCTGACATCACCGCCATCCAAGAAATGCGTTGGACGGGGAGGGGCAAGTAATGTCTGGGGCCTTGCGACGTCTACTACAGCTGCCATGTAAAGGAGCGCAAATTCGGAGTTGGGTTTGTGGTGGGAGAGAGATTCCGTCGCCGAGTACTGTCGTTCACCCCGGTGGACGAGCGTCTAGCGACAATCCGCACCAAAGCGAGATTCTTCAACATCTCGCTCATCTGCGCCCATGCCCCGATGGAAGAGAAGGATGAGGCATCCAAGGATCTCTTCTATGAGCGCTTGGAGCGCACGTACGAGCGCTGCCCCCGTCATGATATCAAAATCGTGTTTGGCGACTTCAATGCCAGGGTGGGAAAGGAAGGGATCTTTGGAACCACCGTCGGAAAATTCAGCCTCCACGACGAAACGTCCGACAACGGATTGAGGCTGATCGACTTCGCCGGGGCCCGAAACATAGTAGTATGCAGTACTAGGTTCAAGCATAAAAAGATCCATTAAGCTACGTGGCTGT